TAGGTAGTGCTTCACTACCATATAGGTAGTGCTTCACTACCATATAGGTAGTGCTTCACTACCATATAGGTAGTGCTTCACTACCATAGAGGTAGTGCTTCACTACCATAGAGGTAGTGCTTCACTACCATACAAGTAGTGCTTCACTACCATAGAGGTAGTGCTTCACTACCATATAGGTAGTGCTTCACTACCATAGAGGTAGTGCTTCACTACCATACAAGTAGTGCTTCACTACCATAGAGGTAGTGCTTCACTACCATAGAGGTAGTGCTTCACTACCATAGAGGTAGTGCTTCACTACCATATAGGCAGTGCTTCACTACCATAGAGGTAGTGCTTCACTACCATAGAGGTAGTGCTTCACTACCATACAAGTAGTGCTTCACTACCATATAGATAGTGCTTCACTACCATAGAGGTAGTGCTTCACTACCATATAGATAGTGCTTCACTACCATACAAGTAGTGCTTCACTACCATATAGGCAGTGCTTCACTACCATAGAGGTAGTGCTTCACTACCATAGAGGTAGTGCTTCACTACCATAGAGGTAGTGCTTCACTACCATAGAAGAAGTGCTTCACTACCATATAAGTAATGCTTCACTACCATATAGGTAGTGCTTCACTACCATAGAGGTAGTGCTTCACTACCATAGAGGTAGTGCTTCACTACCATAGAGGTAGTGCTTCACTACCATATAGGCAATGCTTCACTACCATATAGGTAGTGCTTCACTACCATAAAGGTAGTGCTTCACTACCATAGAGGTAGTGCTTCACTACCATATAGGTAGTGCTTCACTACCATAGAGGCAGTGCTTCACTACCATAGAGGTAGTGCTTCACTACCATAGAGGCAGTGCTTCACTACCATAGAGTAGTGCTTCACTACCATATAGGTAGTGCTTCACTACCATAGAGGTAGTGCTTCACTACCTAGAGGTAGTGATTCACTACCATATAGGTAGTGCTTCACTACCATAGAGGTAGTGCTTCACTACCATAGAGGCAGTGCTTCACTACCATAGAGGCAGTGCTTCACTACCATAGAGGCAGTGCTTCACTACCATAGAGGTAGTGCTTCACTACCATAGAGGCAGTGCTTCACTACCATAGAGGTAGTGCTTCACTACCATAGAGGTAGTGCTTCACTACCCTATAGGTAGTGCTTCACTACCATATAGGTAGTGCTTCACTACCATAGAGGTAGTGCTTCACTACCATAGAGGTAGTGCTTAACTACCATATAGGTAGTGCTTCACTACCATAGAGGTAGTGCTTCACTACCATAGAGGTAGTGCTGCTTCACTACCATAGAGGTAGTGCTTCACTACCATAGAGGCAGTGCTTCACTACCATAGAGGTAGTGCTTCACTACCATAGAGGTAGTGCTTCACTACCATATAGGTAGTGCTTCACTACCATATAGGTAGTGCTTCACTACCATAGAGGTAGTGCTTCACTGCCATAGAGGTAGTGCTTAACTACCATATAGGTAGTGCTTCACTACCATAGAGGTAGTGCTTCACTACCATAGAGGTAGTGCTTCAGTGGGAGTTAGTATGAAGTTAGATCCGATGAAGACAAATACACAGCAACCATAGCACTACCATAAAAGTTCCACCATGGAAAATATTCAATTAGGATGTCCTGGGACCACAGGTAGCCAAGCGCTACCATGAGTTAAAGAAATATTTACAAGTAGTCCTTATTACCGACAGTACCTCGTCCTGGCTAGCTGTTGATAGATTTAGTATTTTTCTATCTATATTTGGTATGTCAAGTCATTTAGGTCATATCCAGCGTCTGCCTCGGAAGGTTGTGGGAGAGACAAACTATGGCCATCTCCCTTTGTGTAACTTACAGATGTCTACCTTTAAAAAAATCATACCACGGGCGGGATTTGAACTTTCGGTCGCGACGCGACGGTCTGGAGTTTTGAGACTCTCTGACTGCGGGTTCAAATCCCGCCCGTGGTATGGTTTGTTTGCAGTCGTGTCATTACGATTTCTTGAGTCTCCCTTTAAATGTGCCCCGTTAAATGGACCCGTTTTCAAGAGGTGCGGAAACTCCCTAGATAAGATAAGATTCCGTTCGGATTTTTAACCCCGGAGGGTTAGCCACCCAGGATAACCCAAGAAAGTCAGTGCGTCATCGAGGACTGTCTAACTTATTTCCATTGAGGTCCTTAATCTTGTCCCCCCAGGATGCGACCCACACCAGTCGACAAACACCCAGGTACCTATTTGTTACTAGGTGAACAGGACAACAAGTGTAAGGAAACGTGTCGAAATGTTTCCACCCGCCGGGAATCGAACCCGGGCCCTCCGTGTGTGAAGTGGGAGCTTTAGCCACCAGGCCACCGGTCCATTTGTAAGGTTATTTGTATCATTGCATAGTCTGACCGAATTTTTGATAATTGCCACGTCACGGTCGTTAGGCTACTATTACATTATCGGTGCTTGTGGGATGGTCGCTTTTCTAATGCTATAATATTCAATCTTTCTGGCTATGGGTATTGGTATGCCTGGGGGCACTTCCTGCTTCTCTGCCTCACTCCAACAAAAGCGCTCCCTGCGGTCGTATTTGCCTGGACCTCCTCCTCTTTTTTTGTAACACTGCAAGTACTTGATGATATGTTGATTGCAACACGAAATTTCTAAAGCTATCATTCAACTCCCCCGTGGTTGTTTTGCATCTTGTATCGCTCGTATCGCTGGATGCCCTGCTGAGAGGGAGCTCCGATCACTAGCAGCCAACATTACCCACAACCCAGAAAACCGCCCCGACTGGATCACCATCTATCCTTGGAAGAATGGCAAGCTCTTAGCATGGGACTGTACCTGTATGTCCACACTGGCTGACACCTATATCCATCACAGTGTGGGGCGACAGGGAGGAGCTGCTGACCACAGGGAGGAGTACAAGATCAGAAAGTACAGTCACATAAGCTAACAATATCAATTTGTCCCAGTAGGATCAGAGACCTTGGGATCATGGGGAAAAAATGCCACACGTTTCCTTAAAGATTTAGGTTCCAGACTCATCGACACCACCAGGGACCCAAGGGCAGCCACTTTCGTGTTCCAACGCCTCAGCGTGGCCATCCAGAGGGGAAATGCTTGCTGCATACTTGGCTCGCGTCCGGCTTCGGAGGAGCTGGAGGAAATTCATGATCTTTAATACATTGTACCATTGTATTCATGTTTGTGTTTTCTGTAAATGTATTCTGTCTATTACTAAAGTATATAATAATATAAAATATAGGGGGTGGTAGGGGAAGAAAATATTCATACAGCTCCGGGGAGAACCTTGAGTTTTCCCTGAGGTACGTTTATTGTCTTCTCTGAGGATGAGGGTCCCCAGTAAAGTTCTAGAGGTGGATAATCTGATTCATCCATGTCTTTCTTGTTTTATTCTTATAGCATTATATTGTAATGTGTTAGATTATGCTCCTCTCAATTCTCCCTTTCTTTCTCTCTCTCTCTCTCTCTCTCTATCTGTCTCTCTATCTATATCTATTTATATATCTGTCTATCTATGTATCTATCCATCCATCCATCTTTTTCTGTGTCTGTCTAGCTCTCTCTCTTTCTCTGTCTCTCTCTCTCTCTCTCTCTCTCTCTCTCTCTCTCTCTCTCTCTCTCTCTCTCTCTCTCTCTCTATCTCTATCTCTCTCTCTCTCTCCTCTCTCTCTCTCTCTCTCTCTCTCTCTCTCTCTTCTCTCTCTCTCTCTCTCTCTCTCTCTCCCCTCTCTCTCTCTCTCCACTTTCTTTTTTCCTCCGTCTGTCTATATCTCTCTCCTTCTTTTTTCCCCCTTATTGGGAAGGGTGCACCTGGAAGATATACAGGACAGCCGGAGACGTTGGTGAGGGTGTATTCTATACCCAAGAAGAGCTCGCCTTGCACCTTACAACAGAGAATTGTATTAGGCAGACACTGAAGGCTACCAGCTACCAGCGAGCCT